GATTAAATTCATCGATCCATTATTAGCTTGCCGGTGAAATTGTATCTTATAAATGTTGATCGGCCCGATCCCAATCCTTAATGCAAACCAAGGCTTCAATCAACATTGAGTGACTGGTCTTTTAAAATAGAGATCATCAAATAGCGATGAAGTTATTAAACCAAACCAATCATTGAGTGACTTTTGATAAATTATCAATTTACTTTGGTATGCAAGTAGAAAGTTACTTTGATATAGAGTCACAAAGAGAGTGAAGAAAGTTGAAGAAAAAAGAGGATAATTAAGAGGATGAGGAGAGATTGTGAACAGAAAAATAGATAAAGATAGAAAGAAGAGTGATATAGAATAGAAAAACACGAGTATCTATAAGAACAAAACTGGCATTATATAGAAACAGCACTTTTTAAAAATAAAAAACAATAAAAACGTGATGGCAATGTGTTTCTTTCCTTGTGTATATTATTTTTTGAGGAATCATTTTATCATGTGATTGATTATAAAAAAGGGTCAAGAATGTGAAAATTGAAATATTAAACTGCTAAAATAGGAATTTGCTCTTTCTATTAAGGAATTGTGTGTTTACCTTAATTAAAAAGTTAAAAATTTAAATAACAAATATGGGCATTGGGTCTAGTGGTATGATTCTTGCTTTGGGTGTGAGAGGTCCTGAGTTCGATTCTCGGAATGCCCCAATTTGTAGCAACTAAAATTTTCGGGCGGTTTTGGGCAAATCGGGCAACTCGGGCTTCGGGTAAAATTCGGGTTTTCGGGCTTATTTTCAGGTCAGGCAATTCGGGCGGGTCGGCATGGTCGGAAAATTCAAAAAAATTCCGGGGGACGGCGGTATAGGGCGGTTAGACGGCAGCGGGCAAGAGAGTTAGTGTCAAATTCGGGCTGCCTGAGCCCGAACCCGAAAATCTAGCTTGGGCGGGCGGGAGATGGGCTTGCCCGCCCGAGCCCAAAAAAATTTGGGCTTCGGGCAGCCCGCCAACCCGAACTTCCAACACTGCTCATATGTAATCTGTAGCTATAAAAAGGAAAAAGCCCCATAGAGAAAAGAGAGCTTTTTTGTAAGCTGAAGAGCACAAAAGAAGAAATACAAAGAACTAGTCGATGTAGCTCTTTTTTATAGAGTGAACCACTATAAATTCGTGAGCCTCTTTACTTCCGTTTTAAGAACAAATCAATACATCTTACAATATACCTCAAAAGCAAACACAACCACTTGAATATACCGAGAAAATTATTAAACCACTTGAATATACCGAGAAAATTATTAAGTTTTGACCGATAACCCAATGAGAAACCGAGTGGTAATCCGGCGTAATCTTATTGACGAAAATAAACCGTCAACAATTATTATTATTATTATTATTATTATTATTATTATTATTGACGGTGAAATTTCGTCAACAAATTAATAACTGGGTTATGGTAGTTTGTGTGTAGATCAAACATAATTATAACGTGATTAAAAAAAATTAAGAGAAGATCAACATAAGAATTTATAGTGGTTCACCGTTAGAATTCAAAGGCTACATCCACTGTCAGATAGCTTCACTAAGTTCTGAGGAAAATATTACAATCAGAGAGAAAGAGTCCAGAGAGCCCGTTCTTAGCCATTCCCCCATATTTATACATCATATTATCATAATTGTCAAACTTCTAATCACATTCTGAGATTGTTTTACCAACTCTCGGAACAGTGTGTAACACCTCAAGAAATTAAACATGATTACTTAAGATAATTGAGATTTATTAGTGTGCCTAATCTGGTTTAATTAAATAATTATGTTCATTAAATGTTTTTGATATGTAAATTTAAATATTTCTAAAAATATTTCTAAGGGATTTAAATATTTTCAGTATTTATATTTTCACCCTAAAAAATATGTGTAGACACACTTTTTAGTCTACTTTTATAAATATCTTTTGAAAATATCTTGATTTTTCCTTTCTTTCTTTTTCTTTCTTTTTCTTTCCTTCACGTGTGTTCTCTCTCACTCTCCCTATCGTTTCTCTCTCTCTCTCACTCTCTCTTTGTTGTTTCTCTCTCTCTCGAACACACACACACACTCTCTCTCTCGTTCAAAAATTTGTCAAATCTTCCGAATCTTGAACCAAAGAAGAACTTTAAGGAGTTTTCAATGTCAAGAGAAGGATTTAGGGTAAGATTTCTGAAAAACTTCTCTTGAATCTCAAATTTTTTCGTTAGAAAAACTTACTTTTAGTTTAAATTGGATTTTGATAGATTTTGGGTAAAATCATGATGACAATTGGGAATTTTTGATTCTTTGGATTTGATTTATCCTTTGGAACCTAGATTTAGTAATTTTCTAATGACAGGTATTTTTACCAACAAATCAAGTACTTTTAAGCTTGATATTTGTAAGTTTTCAAGCATTTTTGTT